AGGTGACAGATGAGGGGAGCGAGCAGAGACAATGAGGTCACACACACGGTGACAGGTGATGGAGACGAGAAGAGACAAGAAAACAAACAGGTGACACGGGACGTGGGAGAGCGGGAGACAAGAAGCAAAACAGGGTGACAGTGAGGGGGAGAGCGCCCCAGAGAGGGAAACAACAAAAACAGGACAGGGAGGCGGAGACGGAGAGGACAAAAAGAAAGCAACAACTGCAGTGACAGCGCGTGAGTGTGGAGACGGGAGACCGAGAGGCAAACAGAGGTGACAGCTGACGGAGCTCGCCCCGCCTGCTGAGTGAGGGTAGAACCAAAACTTAGCACTGGCTGCTTCTCCCTAAAACCGCATTTAACATTTGTTGATATGATGACAGGAACGGAAGACAAGCAGGAGGGATGAGGGGAACAAGGGGGGGTTCGGAAAGGTGGTGAGGGGGGTTCTGGAAGTTGGGTGGGGAGGGAGCAGGAGGAGGAAGGGAAGGAGGGGAAGGGAAGGGGGGGGGTCTGGGGAAGGGAGGGAGAGAGGTTGAGGAAGGGGGAGGGGGTCTGGGAAGGGGGAGGAGGAACTGTGAAGGGAAGGTTGGGTGGGGAAAGGGGGTAGAGGAGGTGGAGGGGAGGGAGAGGGAGTAGAAGGAGGAGGAAGAAGGAGTGGCGAGGGGTGGAGAGGGAGGAGAAAAGGAGACAAAGAAGATGACGAAAAGAAGAAAGAAAGGGTAGACGAAGAAGGCGAATTAATGATTATCAATAATAGTAATAATCATAATAATAATAATAATGAGAAGAATAATGATGATAAATGATTACTATTATCAATTATTATCATTATTATCATTATCATCATTATTATTATTATTACTATAATAACAAGAATAACAATATTAATGATGATAATAAAGTGATAGGAAGAATAGGAAAGAGACAATGAAGAAAAGAAGACGAAGAAGAAAAAAAAGAAAAAGAAGAAGAAATTGAAAAAAGAAAAATTAGGTAGAAGAAGAAAAAGAAGAACGAAGAAGACGAAGAAGAAAGAAGACGGAATGAGGAGGGGAGCGGTAAGGAGAGATTTCACGCCGCTCTGGCAACAGCGAGAGCGCCTCTTGAGCAGTAAATATTCGGCGAGGCTGACTGTCGTAGAAGATGGCTATTTCTCAAGCCTCTCTCTCTTCTTTTTTCAATTTTCTTTTTCTTCTCCTTTTTTCCCTCTCTTCTAAGGTAATCTTCCTCTCCGCACAGGACCAATAGGACCATCCAGCGAGGGGAGGGGGGGGAAGAAGAAGGACCTAAACCACCGATCGTCCGCGGGAGGCGAGTAGGGCCCGTGGGTCGCCCGGACGGAAGGCCCAGATTGGCCTGCGCGGCGAGGGGCGGAGAGCGGAGCCGACCTTGGCCCGGGGCATGAACGCAATGCCCGATCGCCGGGTCTTCACTCACTCACTCAGGCTTCAATCAGAGCCCCACAGACGGAGGATTCCCAGAAGCAGTCGGGGCCGTCCTGTGCCTCTGTCGCTCGGCCTCTGTCGCTCTCTGGCGCAATTTTCGTCTTTCCTCGGTCTGTCCTGTTGTTGCTTCTCTGTTTGTCTGTTCTCGCTTCTGTCTCTGGTGCGTTCTGTCTGTCTTCTCTCGCTCTCTCTCGCTCGCTCTGTGCTCTCTCGCTCTCCGTCTCCTCTCTCTCTCTCTCTCCTCTCTCTCTCATCTCTCTCCTGCTCTCCTCTCTCTCTCCTCTCTCTCTCTCTCTCTCTTCTCTCTTTCTCTCTGTTCTCTCTTTCTTCTCTTTTCTCTCTTTCTCTCTGTTCTCTCTTTCTCTCTTCTCTCTTCTCTCTTCTCTCTTTCTTCTCTTTCTCTCTTTCTCTCTTCTGCTTTCTCTGGTTTCTCTCTTTCTCTCTTTCTCTCGTTGTCTCCTCCTTGCTCTCTTTCCCTCTCTCTCTCTTTCGTTCGTTGTCGTTCGTGCCTTCTTCTCGTTTCTCTTGACCCCTCTTGCACTCTCATCTCTCTCTCCTCCTTTTGGTCTCTCACCCCTACCTCCCCTCCCCTTCATTGCACGTGCATTCCTCCTCCCTTCCCCTCCCTTCGTCCCCTTTCCTTCCAATCCGCCCTCCTCTCCTCCCCTCTCCTCCTTTCCTCCCTTCCCCCTCTCCCTCCTTTCCCTTTCTCCTCTTTCCCTTCTCCTTTCATCCCCTCCTCTCTCCTTCCCCTTTTCCCTTTTGTCCCCTCCTTTCTCCTTGTATTCCCTCCCCTCGACCCGCCCCTCTTTCTATATCCAGTTTCCTTTGTTCCAACTTTTATCAAATATTGCCATTTCCCCCTGAGAGTTGGCCTGCGGTCTGCGGGCGGTTGGAAGAAAGAAAGAGGAGGAGAGGGAGCGCGAATGGAAATAATGCACGCTGGAGAAAAAGCGGTTGGGAGTTTGTGAATGGGTCGATGGTAATGCGTATTAATCTGTCCTTTCTTTCTCTCGTCCTCTCTCGTTGACCTCTCCGGCCTCTCATCTTCTCTCTTGCTTGTCTCTTTTTTTGCTCTCGTTCTTCTCTCTCCTCGCCCTCTCTCTCTCTCTCTCTCGCCCTGCGCTCGTGCTCTCTCTCGCCGTGCTCTCTCTCCCCTCTCGGCGCTCTCCTTCTGCGTCTCCTCTCTCCGCTCGCTCTGGAGGTGTGGTGTCGGTGCGTGTCTTGGCTGCCATCCTAGGTCCCTCGTTTTCGGTCTGTTTGTGTTCTCTGGGTTTGAGTCTTGTGTTTGTCCTCTCTTCGTGTTTGTGTCGGTCTTTCTCTGCTCGCCCGGGGTGACGGTCCGGTTCCCGTCGTCCGGGGACGTGTCGGTCTATTGCCTGCTGCATGCCGTGCCTGCCGCTCTCTTTCTCCTTATCTGGTCCTGTTTGCCTTATCTGACCCCTCTCCCTCGCCCCTGCTCGCCAATCCTTCTTCTTCTCCGTGCTCCGTGCTCCTGTCGTCCCTTCTCGACCTTCCCCTCTGAGCCTCTCAACCTCCATCTCCCGAGCCGCACCCGCGTCCCTTTCCCTCGTCCCGGCTCCTTCTCCCGGGGCTTTCCGTCTCCGCGCCTCTCCATGCCCTCGCCGGCGCCGTACCCTGCTCCTCCCTCCTCCCCTGCCCATGCTCCCATCTCCCCTGACCCTCGCCCCTCTTCCCGACGAAAGCAACAGGTAAGAGAAAAAGGGGCACCAGAATGGCAGAAGGAAGAGCAGTAGGGCCCAAAGTTGCCACGGGAAGGTGAAAGGGGTCAGTGCCACAGCGGTGAAGAGAGGGTCAAGGTGCCACAATGGAAGGAAGCAAGAAGGTGCCAGAATGACACCCCTTCCCCTTTTCCTCTCAATTACCCCTCACCCTTTCCCTCTTCCTTAATTCCCCTACATCCCTCTTATCCCCTTTTTATTTCAACCCTCACCTTTCACGTCTCTTTCTTTTTCCTCCTCTCTCTAATTGTTATTCTCTCTCCCCTTTCACTCCTTCCTCTCCACATTACCCTAATTTCCCCTCTCACTCCTCTTCTTAATTATATACCCTTTTCCCTAAATCCCCTCTCCCTCTTCTCTTTCCCACTTTCACTTGTCCTTCTCCCAACTATTTTACCTTCCCTCTTCCCTTTCTCGGTTAACCCTTTTTACTCCCTAACCCAACTCTTCCCTTCTCTTCTTTTCCATCTTCTCCTTTCCCCTCTCCAACTTACCCTTTTCCTCACCCTCATCCTCACCACTTACCCTTACACCCCATTCTCTTACCTCTCCCATTTCCATCATCCTATGCCTTAGCAAAACCCTGCCCGGGACGTGTAGCAAAAAGTGAGGTCCCCTCCTCACCCCCCCTACTACTCAGGGCTGTCGGATTCGGGATATTCAGTGACGTTTTTCGTGACGTTTTCGGTACATTGTGACGTACTGATGACGTAGTCGGTAATCCATGACGTCACAGTCGGTAATTTTTCGAGATAACAGAATTTCGAGCATTTTCTCCCTTTTTACACTCAGGTGCTAACAGAAAATAGTTCGCATTTATTTTTCCCGATAATCATTTGATCCTAGCAAGGAGATATTATGAAAATTTACTATTTTTGTCTGGCTTATATACATACTTTAGTTGGTTCTTCAATACATGTTCTATCCCCTCAATCCAGCAAAGAAAACTGGAATACACCACAATACCCAATATCACGACACGAGGTACCGCAGCTTTCAGCGGTATATATGAAAACAAGAGTCGGAAAATCGTGAGAGCCCTACCCTTTCTTGCCCTTCCTTTCCCTTCCTTCTCCTTCTTGCCCTTCCTTCCCCTTTTCCTTTCCTTTTTCCCTCCTTCCTTCCCTTCTTTGCCCTTTCCTTTTCCCTTCCTTCCTTGTCCTTTCCTCCTCCTTCTTTGTCCTTTCTTTTTCCTGTACTTCTTTTGTCCTTCCTTGTACTTCCTTGTCCTTCTTTGCCCTTCCTTCTTTCTTCCCCTTCGTCCTCTCCATCCCCAAAACCCTCCTTACCCCATCCCCTTCTCCCTTTCAAACGTGTGCATTGAAATTTTACTTGTCACAATATGCATTCATAATTGATACATTGTTGTATATATTCTCTGTCTAACATCTTTATATATATATAATTTGATAATGATAATAAAATTAATGATGATATAAATAGATATGAAAAGTCATGTGTTCATATAGCTGGACACTAAAAGTATAGTAATCAAGGTGTATGTTACATTCCTTCATTCATATCATACAGTTACGTTGCCTGGCGCCTGTAGAAACAATTACTATAAATATATTTTTCGAATAGGCCTTTTTTTACGATTTGTATAAACCTCTTCCCCTTCTCCCCTCCCTTCCCTCCAACCCCTCACCCTTTCCCCTCTTACCTTACCTTACCTTAGTTTGCGCGCCTTGGTGGCATCGTAAAGGGCGTGAGTGAGCGAGGGGAGTTCCTCTCCCTCCCTCTCTCCCTTCCCTTCACCCCTCCCTCCCTCCCCCTCCTCCCTCCCATCCCCTCACCCTTTCCCCCTCTTACCTTGGGCCACTTGGGTTGAGTTCGCGCGCTTTGGTGGCATCCTGAAGGGCGTGGGCGAACTTGGCGAGCTTGATGTGGGCGGCGGACCGGTTGGAGTAGAGGATGTGGTTGTGGGGGTCGAGAGCGATGGCCTCCGTGTAGAGTGCCACCGCGGTCTCGAAGTCTCCGGACTGGCACGCGGCATTGCTCTGGCGGACCTTCTCCAGGAACAGGGCCTTCGACCCCCCGCCTTCCGCCTCGCCGTCAACCTCCAACTGCGCATGGGGGGGGAGAGAGAGAGAGAAGGGGTGGGGTTAGATTCAGGGGATTTTTGATTTTGTTTTGTTGTTGTTGTTGGGGAGAGGGGGGTGGGGGTTGCTTCAGTGTCTGATTTTGTTGTTGTTATTGCTGTTGGTTTTATTGAGGAGGGGGAGGGGGTTAGCTTTAGTGTCTTTTGATTTTTTTGTTGTTGTTGGGGAGAGAGAGAGGGGTGGGTTAATTCAGGTGTTTTGGATTTTGTTTTTGTTGCTGTAGTTGTTCGTTTTGTTGGGGGGAAGAGGGGGGGTTTTAGCCTCGGTGTCTTTTGTTTATGTTTTTGTTGTTGTTGTTGGGTTAGCTTCAGTGTCCTTTGATTTTGTTTTTGTTATTGTTGTTGCTGTTGTTGGGGAAAGAGAGAAAGGGTGGGGTTACCTTCATTGCCTATCAATTTCGTATTTTGGCTCCTGTCCTTATCAACTTTAATCCTCCACCTAAACGAACTTACGAAAGCAGAGAAAAGAAAAGAGAAAACAAGAACGAATTTTGGAAACCAGAAGAAAAGAAAAGAGAAAAAAACAAAAATTCAACCGCAAACTCGAGCGAGAGAGACCCCGCCCGCCTCTACCTTCCGAGGAGGCAGAAAAGAAGCAAGATCTAACTACCGCTATCTTGATATCTTGAATACTCAAAAAGATATTCAGCCACTACCGCATTTCGTATTCGAACACTTAAACTATCCAGAGAGACACTGTCAGCCCCCCGACCGCGAGGATAAGAAAGAGGGGAAGATTAAACATTCATAATTGATATTCTAACATCCTAGTATTTACAACATCTAGACCCAATGGCGAGCTCTAATTATCCGGGAAGGGGGATTAAGGGGAGGGAGGGAGAGGGGAGAAGGAGAAAGGGGAGGGAGAGGGGGAGGGAGAGGGGAGGGGAGGAGGGGGAAGGGGAGGGAGAGGGTGAGAGGGGAAGGAGAGGGAGGGGGGGGAGGAGAAGAGGAGAGGGGGAAGGGGAAAGGGAGGAAGGGAGAGGGGAAGGGAAAGAAAGGAGAAGGAGAGGAGGGGGGAGAAGGGAGAGGAGAGGGGGGGCGAAATATCTAGAAGAGATGCCAGACTCCAACTGTGAGGGAGGGAAGGGGGGGGGAGGCAAAATATTTTGTGTTAATATTTTGATTCATTAATATTCAAAATATTTACACTGATTACCTTAATTACAATATATAGGTACGCCGGCGAGTTCTAACTTTGACGGACGGAGAGAGAGAGAGAGAGAGAGAGAGAGAGAGAGAGAGAGAGAGAGAGAGAGAGAGAGAGAGAGAGAGAGAGAGAGAGAGAGAGAGAAAATAAAAATAAAAATGTAATACCTTCAAATCTTAATATTCAAAATAATTAGACAACATTTTCAAAATACGTCAAGACGCTTCTAAACTCCACCAGCGAGCGAGGAAGAGAGAAGATACAAAAACCGTTACAAAATTCAAAATATCTACGTGATGCGTCAATAAAACATAAGGGGGTTTAATTTTACCTTAAAAGTCCAACAACTGTCAAGAAACAATAACAAACACCAAAAGCAAGGAATAGAGAGAAAAATGATATAAATATATAAAAACTGCCTGAAAGAACGGAATGGAAATTTATAACAAATACTGATTAGTGATTAGAGCATAATAGAAAAAAAAAACAATGGAAAAGGGCATAGCGAAAAAATAAACGGATTTTTTTTACGTATGAAAATACACACCATGCGCGCTCCTATGAAGAGAACAAGACAAATGTACAATCATACATCATCAATATCATACTTCTATGGTTTTCTATAAAAATAAATAAAAAAATAAGCAACCGATTCGCCTCGGAGCTTATATATCTCTCTCTCTCTCTCTCTCTCTCTCTCTCTCTCTCTCTCTCTCTCTCTCTCTCTCTCTCCTCTCTCTCTCCATATATATATATATATATATATATATATATATATATATATATATATATATATATATATATATATATATATATTTATCTATTTATTATTTATTTATTGTATATATATGTACATATATCTCTCTCTCTCTCTCTATTTCTCTCTATCTCTCTATTTCTCTCTCTCCCTTTCCTTCTCCTCCCTCCCTCCCTCCCTCTCCTTCTCTGCCTTATTATCACGCAATGTAATTTGAGCCTCAAATGCACTTTTCTTTCAAGCACAATTCAAAACAATATTTTCGCGTCAAATTCGGCGCCAAATGCATTCAGAAATCAT